CAGGCGGACACTCAACCACTGTGCCACCAGGGAAGCCCTTTCTTTTTTTACTTGATTAGACTAGCTAAAAGTTTTTCAACTTCATCTTTCCAAAGGACCAACTCAGTTTTATTGATCTTTTCTATTGTCTTTCTAGTCCTTATTTCATTTATATCTGCTCTAATGTTATCTTTTTTTCCACCTGCAGATTTTGGCCTTAATTCTTCTTTTTCCAATTTCTTAAGGCATAAAGTTAGGTAGTTTACTTAAGATCTTTTTTTAAAAAAGAAATGTAGGCTTTTATCTCTATAAACTTCCCTCTTGAAACTGCATTTGCTTTAGCCCATCTGCTTTTGTATGTTTTGCTTTTATTTTCCTTTTTCTCAAGATACTTTTTGATTTCCCTTTTGATTTCTGATCCATTGATTGTTAAGGAGTGTGTTTAATTTTCATGTATTTGTGAATTTTCCAGTTTTCCTCCTGTTAATGATTTTTATTTTCATAATATTGTGGTCAAAAGGATACTTGATATGATTTCAGTCTTATTAAATGTGTTAAGATTTGTGCCATAACATATGATCTATCCTGGAGAGTGTTCCATGTGTGCTTGAGAAAAATTATGTATTCTGCTGCTGTTGGATGGAATGTTCTATGTATGTCCATTATATTCATTTGTTCTGTAGTGTTTTCTGTCTGGATGAACTATCCATTGTTGATAATGGGGTATTGAAGTTCCCTACTAATACTGTATTACTGTTTATTTCTCTGTTCAGTTCTGTTAATATTTGCCTTATATATCTAAGTGCCCAGATGTTAGGTGCATATATATTTACAATTATTATATCTTCTTTATGAATTGGCCACATCATAATAGTGACCTTTTTTATTCTCTGTGACAGATATCAACTGAAAGTCTATTTTGTCTAATATAAGTATAGCCATCCCAGCTCTCTTTTGGTTACCATTTACATGGGATATCTCTTTCCATCCTTTCACTTTCAGCCTATGGATATCCTTAAAGTGAGTCTCTTGTTGGTAGCAAAAAGTTGGATCTGTTTTTCAATCCCTTCAACTACTCTACTGATTGATTCAGCTACTCTACTATCTTTGGATTAAATAATTTATTTCATTTACATTTAAAGTAATTATTGATAGGTAAGGTCTTTTTATTGACATTTTGTTCATTGTTTTCATTTTTTGTGTGTCCCGTTTTTCCTTTCTTTGCTATTTTCCTTTATAATTTGATGCTTTTTTTTTTTTATAGTGCAATGCACTGATCCCTTTCTCTATCTTTTGTGTATCTACTGCATATTTTTTCTTTGTGGTTACCATGAGGCTTACATAAAAAACATCTTGGGCTTCCCTGGTGGCGCAGTGGTTGAGAGTCCGCCTGCCGATGCAGGGAACATGGGTTCGTGCCCCGGTCCGGGAGGATCCCACATGCCGCGGAGCAGCTGGGCCCGTGAGCCATGGCCGCTGAGCCTGTGTGTCCAGAGCCTGTGCTCCGCGGCAGGAGAGGCCACAGCGGTGAGAGGCCTGTGTACCGCCAAAAAAAAAAAAAAATCTTATAACTTATTTCAAGCTAAGAACTTAACTTTGACCACATACAAAATCTCTATGATTTAACTTCTCCTCCCCCCACCTTTAATGTTAATTGATATCACAATTTATATTTCTTTATTTTGTATATCAATAATAAATTGTAGTTAGTTATTTTTAATACTTTGTCCTTTAATCTTTATACTAAAGTTCTGTTATTAACATGCCACTGTACTATAGTAGAGTATTCTGACTTTACTTTTACCACTGAGTTTTATACTTTCATATGTTTTCAAGTTGTTACTTAGCATCTTTTCATTTCAACTTGAACTCCCTTTAGCATTTCTTGTAAGGTGGTCCAGTGGTAAACTCCTTGTTTGTATGGGAATTTTTTTTTCCTCTTCATTTCTGAATGACAGCTTTGCCAGGTGTAGTTTTCTTGGTTGGCAGTGTTTTTTCTTTCAGCATTTTGAAGATATCATGCCACTCTCTCTTGGCTTGCAAGGTTTCTGCTGAGACATCTGTTAATAATCTTAGGGGGGTGCCCTTGGATGTGACAAGTTGCTTTTCTATTGCTGCTTTCAAAATTCTCTTTGTCTTCAACACTTGAGACTTTGATTATAATTATTTGGAGTTATTTAGGCTGCATGGATATGGGTGTTCATTTCCCTCTCCAGATTAGGGACATTTTCTATTTATATATATATATTTGTGTGTGTGTGTGTGTGTGTGTGTGTGTGTGTGTGTGTGTGGTATGTGGGCCTCTCACTGTTGTGGCCTCTCCCGTTGCAGAGCACAGGCTCCAGACACGCAGGCTCAGCAGCCGTGGCTCACGGGCCCAGCTGCTCCATGGCATGTGGGATCTTCCCGGACTGGGGCACGGACCCGTGTCCCCTGCATCGGCAGGCGGACTCTCAACCACTGTGCCACCAGGGAAGCCCTATTTTTATATTTTAAATAACCTGTCTTCCCCTTTTTCTTTTTCTGCCTCTTCTGGGATTCCCATGATGCATATATTGATACCTTTGCTGGTACCCCATAATTCCTGTAGACTTTCTTTTGGTCCTCTGACTGGGTGATTTCAAATGAACAGCAAGTCTTAGAACTCACTGATTCTTTCTTCTGCTTGATCAAGTCTCCTACTGAAGTGCTGGCATTTTAAAATGTAGTCATTGTGTTTTTCAAGTATAGAATTTCTATTTGGTTCTTTTTTATGGTTTCTAGCTCTTTGTCCTGTCTCATTTTGTTTTTGTATTGTTTTCCTGATTTTGTTTTGCTTTCCTGTAGCTCACTGAGCTTCTTTAAAATGATTATTTTGAATTCTTTGTCAGGCGGTTTATATATCTCTATTTCTTTGGGGTTGGTTACTCATGCTTTATTTTGTCACTATGGTGGTGTCATGTTTCCCTGCTTATTTGTGGTCCTTGTGGATTTGCATTGGTGTCTGCACATTTGAAGAAGAGGCACCTCTTCCAGTCTTTACAGACTGGCTTTAGTAGTGAAAGCCCTTCACAAACTAGCTGCCCAGAGATTCTGGGTGGATCAGCTGGTGAGGTCCATGGGAAGGCTTGCTCCTGGAGCCTTCAGGCAGGCTTACCTGGTGCTTGGGTCAGCAGGGG